CAAAAATTTCAGTTCAAAATTCCTTCATTTACAAGAGGACATTGCTGGTGGATTTCGGAATATTTTTTGAGATTTTCTGGATTCTTTTTTATTTTTCATGGATTGGCAATCCAGAAAATCCGACGTTTTCCTCTTGATCTTTTATTTGTTTCTATCATGTATACTATTCAAGGGAGGACAAACTGATTTCCGTGCTGAAAATCATTAGAAATTACTAATAACGCGTTCAGCATGCGATGAATGACTGAAAGCTGTAACAAAAGCATTGAAAATCGTTGGCAGTCATTAAAAACTCGAGAACTCATTAGGAATCAATGAAAATCATTTTCGGTCAAAGTAAACCTTCGATAATTAAATGAGCAGAATAGCCATGATTTCCACTAATTTCTGATACAAGCCCATATTGATCCCGACAACACTATGTATTCCTCACCATTGGAAGGACAAAAGATGGGATTGCTGGAGCCATATGAAAGATAGTCCTCATCAGCCCTTATATCGACTTGAACAACACCGAATTTCGCCGTTACTACAGAGTTGAATAAAATATTATTCAAGAGGGGCAAACGCTATAATTTCAAATAGGAGGTATGATGAATTTTATACCAGACGAAAGCCCTGAAAAACGGGATTTAGTGATGTTAAATAGTAAGACTTTGAAGAACTTTCACGTATTAAATTCTCAAAAGTTATGACTTTTATCAATATAAGACATGAGAAAATTAGTTTATCAAATGATGTTCGAATCAAATGTGTTACAAAATAGTTTATTTTTTCATTATTTAATGAATATAATCAATAATCATTGTGATGACCATTAGCGTTGTTTACTGCATGAAGTCGAGATGGATACGAACATAGAAGAGTTTCCAATAATTTAGTATCTTCTTCCATGCTAGTTAAAAAATTTACGATATACATTTTGAGTGTGTCTTCAAGATATCGATTATATCCAGTTTTCGATAATATTTTTTGTCAAATTCTTCTTTGATTATTGGCTCAATATGTTCTGCCACATTGAGATCAGGTGAATTTCCTGACCAGATATCATAACTCCAAAACTTAACATTATTGTCTTAAAGCAAATACTGGGTTCTATTTACTCGCATACATGGTGCTCTATCATGAACAAATATAACTTCATTAGGATCAAAAACATTTTCTTCATTGTTTAAGACAGGAAATACGTTTTGAGTCAAAATTATATCATGAAAGTATTGACTAGTCCAAGATTCACCTTTATCTTTGATAACCCAAAGTAATCTTTTGCAAGTAAATATTATAAAAACCCCAATACAAGCTTGATATTTTACTAATATCACGATATCTTTCATCTTCTTCAATATTTTCAAGCACTTCTCGCCCAAATTCGATCATTCTGAGAATTTGGTCTACGGACAGTCCAGACATAAAATTCATCAGATGGTGCCAGATGAAGAAAATCTTCTTCAGTCCAATCTTTTAAACAGTCGCACAGCCATAATCGATCTGATATATGAGTTTCGGATTTTAACGATTTTGCAATAACATGAAATGGTTTTAATCCTTCTCTATGACGATAGGTATTAATTGTTCTTCGAGTGACATGTTCGTTTTGCTTCTCTGTAACCTACTTCGCCACAATCAAACAGCTTTTTTTTGTCGACCACTTGCTTTATGAATGATATCTTGACCAGCTTCTGATAATTTAAGTTTAGCACCGACCTTTGAATAATCAGCAAAGCATTGATCATATGTTTATTTCTACCGTTTCGAAACAAATGAAGTTGGTCGGTGAATTTTGTCCATAAACCATTGTCTATTTATAAATGTTGCGTCAGCATCAAGAGCTTCACGAAAAGCAATGCATTTGATTCGAATGTCTATCATTTATCCCAAATTGCTTCCCACAAGTCAATTTCCAAATAAAATCCCCATTTATGGATTTTGATTTATGGATTTTTTAATTTGGGGATTTTTTTGACATGAAACGCACTATACATTTTGGTGCTTGATTTGGATTAACTAAACACGATAAAAACAGTTTTACGATGAATCTGGTAACCAGAATGTATTTTTGGATTGCCAAAAAGACGACTTTGTAGTAATCCAAGATACGTTCTGGTCACCAGATTCACCATAAAACTGTTTTTTATTGTGTTTAGTTAGTTCAAAACAAACGCCGAAATGCATGGTGCATTTCATGTTAAAAAATCCCCAAATTACAGATAGAGATTGATATAGAATTCCACAATTTTACAAGCGATAAGTCTGGCAATTTTAGAGTGGAATTCAGCTTAGTATAGCATACAGTAATCTAATATTGAAAGCAAACGGTTCAGTCTAGCCCGAGTTTTGGGGGTATACGGGGAAAGATTCGATATTGATGGTCGATTGGCTCCTGAAGATTGACTGAACTTTATGAAAATACGTAGGTTTGTAATGAAAATTTTATCGAAAGAACAAGAAGATATGAACTTTCCAAAGACGAGCCGATTGTTTCAAAGCTTGTTTTCTAGCCTAAGATAATGTAACATCCAAAATCTTTTCATGTAGTCCTTTTATGTCAGCTTTGATAGAAGGATTCGGTTCGGGTTTTTTCCATCGATCAAGGTTTACTAAACTGTCCTTTTTTAACTGATGAAAAAAGTTTAATGTTGTTTTCGAATTTTCGAATATTGATTATTTACATTTTTCAGGGGTTCCCGGCACAGTCAAAGCTTTAAGTACAAGTTATGATTGTGAGCGTGATAATCCTAATTTGGCTTTTTTCAAATATGACAAGAATAAGGCACAACGACTTTCGTATTTGGCAAATATTGATGTGAAAACAGGAAGAAGAGAAGAGTGGTGCATACGTAACTTCATTGATGGCACAATTCAAGTCCATCCTGTTTGCAATTTCTCTAGATATGCACGTGAAAGTTTTTTCCATGAAGTTATCTAATAATATCATTTGTCTTAGCAACAAACAAAAAATAGCGTAGTACTGTAGCTTCACAATATTCCTTCTTAAATGATTTCTTTTCAAATAAAATGGTTTGCAGTGCATAATGAGTCATTTTTATTTCACTATAGATATGGTTTCATTTGAGGATGCCAATAAAAAAACAGGTCGATTCTATCTCTGAACAAAAAGTCAAGTTCAATCTGCCCAGTCTCAACTCTTGCTTTTCAGCAATCAACGTCTTTGTCAAAAACAGATAATATTTAAGTGTTGTGCTTTGTAAACAAAGAAAAATGCAGGGTTAATTTTTGCCCACACATTTCGTGTTAATTATTTAAATTTTCAACACTTATCGCCACTATCTAACAATCGAAAAACAGAGTCGCTCTATCTCTTGACGAAAAGACAACTTCAGCCTGCTATTCCCAACTTTTGCTTTTCAGCAATCGATCTTAATTCAAGTAAATTGAAATGTGGATAAGGTGCTTGATAAAATAACAGTTAATAAAATGCAGAGTTCAAATCGCCGACGCGTTTCGTATCTTCGAAAAAATAGTACACTTCAGGACTATAGATCTATAATAGGAATAAAGAGAGAATGATTATGATTAGTATTAGATATGAAACTGTAAAACAAAACATCCACAAAGTAAAGCGAAAAGAGTAGAAGCTACTTTATTGAGTTCAGGGGTGAGGGTGAGGGTGAGTAGAGCAACCATGATATCGACATTTCACCTAAGCAATTAGGCTCTTCTCTCCAATAATTTGAAGTAAAGAAATATAAACGTAATAAATCTTAAATTCTATAATAAGGGTATAGATCTATATATACATGGGGCACTACAAAAGTTTTTTCACTAGCCTTTAGGATAAGTATTTAGAGGAGGATTTTAATTTATTTTTTCAAAATACTGTCCTTCAGCATCAATGCATTTATGCATTCGAATAAACCAGTCTTTGAAACAGTTGCTAAAGTCTTCTTTCGTGAGACTGTCAATGGCTTGTTGTAAAGCAGTTAACATTTCGTTGTCGTCGTTAAATCGAATACCCCGTAACTGATTCTTGAGCTTCGGGAATCAGAAGAAATCGCAAGGACTTAAATCTGGAGAAATTATTATTAGATTTAGATAATTTTAGATTGAGAGCATCACATGACGTTTCGTCCTTGCTTAAGGGACTCATCAGGCATGTTTACAATCTATAAGTACATAATTTTCAAGACTCTCCAAATTTTTGAAGAAGTTTCTGAAAAGATGCGTACTAATCCTAACAACAATGTGAAATTATTATTAGATTTAGATAATTTTAGATTGAGAGCATCACACGACGTTTCATAAATCAACTGGACAAAGACTAATCTAAATCTCTTTTAGATATAAATCAATCTGCTAGTCTCAACTTTCGCTTTTCAGCAACCAATGAAGTCGTCAAGTTACAATATTGCTACTGTGTTGTGCTCGAGTAGTTTATCAATAATATAATGCAGATTTTTGATTTGCCGACGCGTTTCGTGTTTATATTGTTAAACTTTGGAAACACTCATCAGCGCACTGCTTTACAATAATATGCAAAAACTAAAGCACAATGCTAAAAATCTAATTTGTTAAATGGGGCTACCAAAATTTTATAATAATAGTTATTATAAAAATGACGCTTTACAATACAAAAACTTTTTTTCTAATTTTTCAATGATTCGCAACTGAATGGGAAGAAAACAATACAAGTAGAACACATTAGCATTAGTGTCTTTGCATATTAGTATTGCCGCCTCTTGTGTCCAGAATAGTCTTGCCGCTAACCGTATAATTAAAAGAAACATTAGATCATTTATTATATGTAAACCCTCTTAACTTGAATTCGGACGTGTATTAAAGTAATATTTCTGTTGATATTATGAATGCAATAACCGCGTATCTGATAAATAAGGCCATACATTGAAACGAAATATTTGTTAATTATAAATAACAAAAATCAATCATGTGGCAAAATATTCAGCACAATTATAATGCCAGGAACAATATAACAAAAATAGGTAACATAACACAGTATCTAACACAACTGTAAAGGCAGAAACAATATAGCAAAAAGACTAATATGACGCAGTATTTATCGTAATATTAAAGGCGCAAACATAATAAAATGAATCATTGAAATGAATCAAAAGTATGATACGATATTTAACCCATATTAAAGGCACAACGAATATAAGAATTATATTCGTATCGTACAACTACATGCAGCAGTTTTCATGTTCTTTATATTGTTATTAATGGGAACAACTAATACAAAATTTCAAACGCCGAAATGAAACCAATCGTGTCATATCCGGTATGCCACTTCTAATAGCTATTATTATATTTATTACTTATATCATTGTCATAACTGAATAATTTTAATGGATTCTTATTTTTATCTTTATTATAACTTAATAATTTTAATTGTTATATATTTTTATCATTATAATTGAAAAAAACATACTTTAATAGATATTTTAATACAACAAACATAATGTTAAAATACTGCAATGATTTATTATGACATTCATATAATATTTCAACAATAATATGCCATAAAATAATAGCCATTTCATTATTTATATGATATTATCCGTCATATAACATTTAATTACTAATAAAATATCACACTCACAATATGAAATATCATATTATCCCATTTATCATAAACACACCATACATAATGACTTTAGTAATTAGTATTTATACATAATTTAGTAGTAATATGAAAAAAAAACATCAATTATTCTTTGCTAACAGCCTGTGTAAATTTTTAACATTACGTGTACCGTGTACAGGAACAACATCATTAATCGGAGATTTACCAAACTATTTACCCCATAATGTGTAAAATTTTAAAGAAAATACTTTCATATTTGAGCAATAAGTAAAATGAACAAACGTCACTTTATCATAAACAATTCCTGTAAATACCTTCTATGTTGAAATTAACTCGTTTTGACGTTATTCATTGTAATTATTCATAGTATTAAATTATTATTAAGAAGTTTCAGATTGAAAGCATCGATACGACGGGTTTCGACCTTGGTTAAGGGTCTTCCTCAAGCATCTTTAGAATTTTTCGAATTACATGTAAGGGTGTGGGTGTGGGTGTGGGTGTGGGTGCGGGTGTCACGAATAAAAGCACAACACCCACACCCACACCCATATCCCATACCCACACCCACACCCACATCTCATACCCACACCCACACCCCACACTCCACATCCACACCCACACTGTTATTTGATAATGACTAAATTGTGATATTGTTCCTTAATATGATATTCATTTGTAGTGCTACGAGTTTCCGCCACAAATCTACGGATATTTTCTTTCTGAACATCTGCTCTGAAAATTGAAGCGGAGAGATTGTAATATACAGGGATTATAGGGTTGTCGAGTTATACATAGAAAAAAAAAGTGAGTTTACATTACATTTGATCGTACGAGGAACAATAAAGAATTCTTAAAATGAATTCTCTATATTTATTTTACTCGTCCACGAAAGAATACCTGTATAAATAATCCAAATCAATGTTAATTGTTCGAAAGGAAAAAGATCGAAGGGAAGAAAAAAGATCGCAAGATAATATTTCGAAGAGGAAAAAGCTCGAAAATCTCGAAAGTATATATAGGCAATATTGAATAGAATGCGGCG